GTTATAGCCCATATATAATGCTAATGATCTGTTACTGTTTGAGATCTATGTTACTAGGAACGAGAGTTATTAAGTATGTCCTTATAGTCATTGTGCAAAATATACTTCACATCTAATTTATTAACATGCACCAGTCCTTACTAAGAAATTTAAAAGAACATGAAATATCAGTAATAGAGTTTTATGTTGTGTATTTACGAATAGGATGTTTATTCAAGTTCATATTACATAGAGCAGAAACAACTTGTACTATTTTAGTTATCTTATGAAAATCATCAATAGCTCCTCGGTACACACTGCCCAAAATAGCATAGGTTTTGAGACGCTGATTGATATTTTCAATAGCTGCTCTTGCACTATTAATATCTCGATTGAAACTTTTGTCTTCATCTGATAATTCGCGTCCACGAGGTTTCTTTCTTGGAGTAACCACGTATTCTTCACCAATGTATCCTTTGTCAGCAATAATTTGTACAGAGTCATTTACATGTTCTAATAGTCCTGAATCTCGTAAAACTGTAATATCATGTACACTGCCTTTGTAACATTCGGACACATGCACTATTCGATAATGGAAATCACAAGCTACTTGTACTTTTAATGCGTAGTTTCTTGAACTTTTTGCATGATAATATGCTTTACGTTGAGTTGAATCATAAGGTTCAGGAATTGCTATGAAAGTTGAATCAACTATTAATTTATGATGTTCTTCAGGTTCATGTGCTGTGGTTCTGTTATATCAGCAGGTAATGAAATTAATTCTGGATATACACAGGAATGTAAAATATCCACAACCTCTGGTAATAAATAATTTACTGTTGATCGACCCAAATTTAATTCTGTAGCAATATAACGTTCAGAATGATAATGCTTTAAGTACCATAATGTAACAGCAAGCAAATTCATAGGAGATAAATATGAGGTGGTGGTACTGTTTGTATGTCGATAGTTCTTATGGGAGCAATAATTTATAAGTGGTTGTTCACACATAGAATACAATTCTTGTACTTGCTCGATGTCATGTCCAGTATGTTGTACACAAGATTCATTAGTACGACTCCAGGCCGACCATGGACGTTGTTCTACAATATGAATAGAATGAGAGGTGCATGTGTAAACTAAGAAGAGTAACGTTACTTACTATCATCCAAAGCTTGAAACTGTTGTTGCTTCTCTTCCATTTTCTGTTGTTTTTCTTCTTCAAGTTCTGGTGTATGTTAATAAATTAGATGTGAAGTATATTTTGCACAATGACTATAAGGACATACTTAATAACTCTCGTTCCTAGTAACATAGATCTCAAACAGTAACAGATCATTAGCATTATATATGGGCTATAAC